CAAAACAGCAAACCCTCCCCTGCTACAGCCTCCCTCTGCTTGCAAGCAAACAATTGCTGCCCAAGTCACCCTTCTTTTCTTCCACTACAAACAAGAAGTCCTTCAACTATTCAAACTAGATTCCCATCTTACTGGATCAAATTCTGCTGCTGTTATCCAGAACTTCCTCTTCCTACATAAAAGTATTTGGACTCAACATGGAAACAATTTCTCAGTCACAACTTTTAAAGCTCTTGATTATATGTAATACATTTTACCTTTACTCTCTCCCCTTCCCCTTCCATCTAAAATTAATATTCTGAGTAGGTGGTCTCCAGTTGTGCAAGAGCAAGTTTACTTAACGTAACAAATTCAAGACTGTTTTGCCCCATTCTGTGGCCTCAAAAAATAGAGGACATTTCTCTAGATCACCCATGCAACTTTTCTTTTTCTTAATTGCTGAATACGAGGTCCCCATACCAATTCAGGAAGAGCTCTGTCACCTGCAACACCTGCCCTACACCACTCCTTCCCATCTTGCAGATGTAGAAAAGGGCTTACCACAGAGCTTTTTAAACAGATTTGCCAACATTTGTCTTGGAAAGCACCAGCCATTTGATCCTCCTTCTTACAGTAGACTCTTCAGAGATATAATAGTTGGAAAAAAAAAAGGAAGACTGCTGAAATAATGTTTTTCTGTTTATGACACCAGTCAGGACAGTATCCTGACAGTAAAATTAAAAGCCAGTATTCAGCATTGTAGTGGTGCGTGGTATGTCACCGTGTTACTAAGATATCATCTGCCTTTCAGATCTGAACAAACCAATACTGTGGCCAAGTTTTGAACCAAACAGATAGTAACAAGAATTCGCACTTGGACATGGTCCCAAAAAACCCCCGTAACTTAAAAGAGACATGTAAATGCAAGCCTCATGAGCAAAGGCTTATAGCCTTTGTCTCTAAACAGCAGCATCTACAGAAGAGATATCATGGACTATCACAAATTCTTCAGACTTCAGAAGTACTCCTAAGTTGGAAAAGCCACTGAACTTCTGATCTAATTAGGCAAGATATTCACAAACAATTTTAAATACCCACCAATTTTTCTGAGCTTACAAGTTCAATTTCATTATAGTGAATCCTGTCCCCTGCCCTTTACCCAAAGCTCTGCGGCTGTGTAAATGCCCTGCAAGCAAAGGAAAGAGAACTGCACATATAAAAAGATGTACCACAGAATGAAAATAAAACCTTAAAAAAAAAAAAGAGAGAGAAGCATCAAATAAACAGGAACATTCTTTCTCCCCCATGCCCAATAACATGTGGGGTATCACTGCAAAAAAAAATTGTTGCCTTATGTATTACTTGTGAAAAACATGTTCTTCCAAAGCCAGTAATTTATTTTTTGTAGAGTGCACCAACTGTTATTCAACCTCTTCACTACCCACTTGTTTTTCTTTTTTCCTCCATTATAAAAGGGATTTAAATTTTTAAAAATGTACTCATCTGTAAACTGCATGTCAAATTGATTAAGTGACCCAAATAACTTACAAAAATAGATTTGATATCCAGCAGAGCAAGCCAGCGGTCTGGAACCTGCAATCAACCCTCCCCTTATATGACTATCCACCTAGTGAATGTCTTTCTTCTGTGTAATGCTTTCCCCATACTCTTAATAAAATGTTTGTTATCTTAATTACTATAAAGAAGACACTGTAAATGCTTTTTCTTTACCCATTGATACTGATTAGATATTTAAAGTACAGACCTTAGAGGCAAGTGATTGAGGTTATTTTCAAGGCTGTCTAACATGAGAATAAAACGTTACCTTTCATGGCTGACAGATAGTATGTAGAAAGACAAGGAATGACCAAGATCAGCTGTCAGAACTAGGCTGCACTGAACATACTTGCTGTTTTAATAATCCTTCATATTACCCTACTTCAGATAACGATTTCAGATTATTTAAGGCATTAAATATCACCCAGCATTTCTGTGCTTAGTGATGAAAAGTGGTTTTACACAACTTAAGAACAAGCTGTAAATTAGAAGAGGTTTGCCATTTCAAAACTTTGATATTCCGTGGCTTTCCAGCTTGTTTAGTTGGCAAACAGTACTGAAACACTGTTGAAAATATCAAAATTGTAAGGTCCATAGATACTGAAAGGAGTGCGAAACTCTTCGCTTCAACAGGCCATTTGTATAGGCTAACCACTCAACATCCAAGCAGCTGCCCCCACCACTTCTGATGGTGATCGCCTCCCTTATTCCTTCAGAATTACATAAACACTCTCTTTCCCTGAGCCTCTCACAACAGCCTGTGATGCCAGGCATGCACAAATTCAAGACTCCTGTCTGCTGCACATGGCTTAGCCCATGAACCGTACAGAATTACTCAGACCTGATGCTCACACTACAAGCCTGACATATAACCTGTCTTTTCAGACCTTAAAACTCCAGAGGGCAATATCCTAATTTGTTGAATCATTCAAAAACTCTGAAAGCTTTGCTGGTCAAAAAAAAAAAAAAGAAAAAAACAAGGAAAAAAGAAAAAATATGTATTAAAAAGACTGAAGTTGCAGAATCAAACACCAGAAATCTAGGAAATAGAACATTTAAAAGTTGTCCACCCAAGTACATGGACTGCCTTAAAAATATGTAAAGTCATTCACTTGGTTCTTTGTTATAGGTGTAATGGTTTGGTTTTGGGGTTCTTTTTGTTGTTGTTGTTTTGGTGGTTTTTTTTGGTTTTTTTTTTTAGGAATTCATGCCTTAATCAATGCCCACAGTGAACAATTCTGAGAAGATAATCTAATTGTTTTTCCATTCTTCTGATTAGCATATTCCCCAATGCCTTATTTAAAGATCTTAATCAAATGCAGCACTTGAGAATGAATAATTGCATTGTGGGATTGTCTGAGGTACTTTTCACTCTGTGGGGAAAAATAAAATCAAAGCACTCCACTAGTTCGTCTTAATTTTTGTAATCCCTTTGTGAAATCAACACCATCAACCTCTTTCAAGCAAAAGGAAGTTGAGGTAGAGACTGAAGTCAAATGTATCCAGTGGTTACAAGTACCCAGTCTAAAGCTGTTTGGTTTTTTGACCCCCCCCTTTTTTTTTTTCCCCACCCCAGATTATTTAACATTATGTTCAAGACAGTTCACACTGACTTCAGTCAAGTCACAGTCACATGCACAGGAAACTTTACAAATCAAACATCCAGCTCCTAAAGCCTGACAACCAGCAATGTGGGAATAAACAATCAGCAGCTGCTTCTTATCAACTGGAGTTTAGATGGCACGCCATAACATCCCACAGGAAGCCTGTGGCAGAGGCAGGAACAAAAGTCACTTCTGAGGCTGCATTCAACCCTGCAAGTCATGCTTATTCTAGCAATGGCCTCCTCTTCTTCAGTCTCCATGATCAATATAATAAATTAATGCTCTTTATTTCAAAGCAACATGTTGAACAGAAACTAAAGTAACTTTACAATACTCTGCCCCATTTTCCCCAAAAAAACACTAAAGGAAAAAAAGCAATACAGGTTATGTCCACTGGTTTGATTAATAAAAGTAACCTTTCAAAGACAAAACCAGCTCTATCTCTCCCTCAGAAGTCTGACAGGCTCAGTGTTCTTCATATTACAGATATGGTCCAGTACAATCTACCTCTCCTAATATAATTCTCTGCATTCAAAGGTGAAGTCCCTTAGCTGCAAAGGAAATTTGATTTATCAATTCTATGAGTGTTGTTAAAAAAAAAAACAAACCCTGTTGACATTTCTATGATTTCACCCCCTAGTCAAAGGAAGAAATGTTTCAGAGATACCTAACTCTGCCTAACTACATTTTCCAATTTTATTATCAGAACAACTGCAAACTTTCTTTATCGAAATTGTTACAGGACACAAGGGGATGAAAAAGCATTCCAACCATACAGAGCTCAGACCTTCAGACATCCCCCCCCTTCACCCTGCATTCAGGAAGTTCCTGCTGTGCATGCTCCTAATGTAAGAAACACAAACTCTCCCCTCTTTTAGCCAAGCATATTTACACGGTGTCTGAAACAACTAGGAAAAATTGTAATTTGATAGCTGGGATGGACTGAATAATTGAAAAATTTGTGGTTATATTTATGTAAAACTCTCCAAAACCAGAATTTTGTGTTTTGGAAAACAAGTTTTCCCCAACACCACTTTCCTGCTAATCTTGTTACTTGCAGTAATGACCTTTTTGAAATGCATCTTTTCCCCCCCAAAATTTTTTTTAAATTCACATTGCTTTCTATTCAAAGGCTGCAAACTCAAGTAGTTTCAAATGAAGCAAGCAAGCATTTTCTCTAATACAAACTACTCTGTGAGCCTGGGGAGTTTACAGAGCCAAAAGACTAAAGCACACAAAAACCTTAAAAAGTTTCAAAAAGTTATCAGATTTTTTTTGCACCCTTCAGGGCCACATTCTTTCATGCATCTGAAAAAACAAAGTAAGATTTCAGAGCTGCTCTGGGAAAAAGGGATGAGTGTGCCACTGCTACTCTGGAAAACTCAGTTAAGTAAAATACAGAAGTCCAAATAATCAATTCCTGTACCAGGGCATATGGATGCGTGTATTTACCTTTTCCATTGCTGAACCTGATGTTGTCATGACTTCTTACTGCAGGGTTTCTCAGGAACCATTGACAATGCATGCTGGAGATTTTTTTCCCTCCCCCCTTTCAGCACACGACAGATACAGATTTTCCTATCATCGCAGCTTGATCTAACATGATACATAACTCTGTTCACCAAGATGTAATTTGCTTCAATCTCTTCCCTGTCTTCAGCCACCTTTTCACTTAACACTGAGAATTGCAAACTGCTTCTTTTGGAACAGACAGCGTGGCTGCAGGTTGCTAAAAGCATTCTGTTTTATCTAATTAAAACCTAGAAACCAAAACAGCACAAGAACAACAAAGTTCCCATTTACACAGTACTCCCCATTACCCCAAACTAGTGCTACTGACAACTAGACTTTGTTTCTTACCTTTGTGGTTAAAAATCCCCTCCATCTCCATACTACTGCGAGAGTGGGCGATGCAGAGGGACCCGCAGGGGACCAGGCCTTCTGCAGCTGGGGACCGATCTGTGGTTCGAACCAGACACCAGTCGGGCTTGTCATGGGGCCTCTCCAGGACCTCCACTGTCTGCCCACGGCGGATTGTCAGCTCATTACTGTTGCAGGCGGTGAAATCGTGGATTACCACCGTCAGCTCGCACCCACCAGACAACTGTGAGGGGAAAAACAAGAAGCCAGATGAACGCTCGTTATCAAACCATCCGTCACGGACCGTTACCTATTTAGGATTCCTGGCAGGATTCGTATTTTGGATGAGACAGCAAGCTTCTGGGACGTTCCACATCAAGAAGAGATCATTTCAAAATCAGGCAGTTCTGGAGTTTTAGAACAGATTTCTAACTCTGCTTGTCTCTGCCTATGTTCAAAGCACACCAGTTGTGACAGTGCTGGGCGGAGGATTTAAGCAGTTTTTCTTGCTAGACTACTCCTTATCCCGAAAGCTGAAGTAGCAGTTGCTTCAGAATATATTTTCTGTGATAACAGGCACCAAAAAGCCAGGTATTACTAAATACAATCACTCATGAGCTGTGTTATCTTGAAAATTCAAGGCAGAAAAAAGGACCTTTTTCAAATGAGCTTACTTGCCATAGTCCCATCCCACTCAGTTTTCATACATGGATCACAAAATCAGCTAGGATGCATCATACATGATTACAAAAATCAGCATAAAGTTCTTCACATAAAATTCCCAAATACCTGGGAATAACTATTTGATAAAAATCCACACAGGTTTATAACTTTCACATTTTTGCTGATTCCCCAAATAAAACCACACAAACTTAAATTAAAAGCATGGGAGTGCAGGGTTTTCCTCCCTCTCTTTGAAACACTTCATTAGAATTACTTTGCCTAAGCTTAAGTTTCTTCTCTTTGATTGTTTCATCTGCTTTGATGTGAAATGAAAATTATCATCAGAACTTTGCAAAGTTCCCAAGATTGCTCAGCACCAGAGCACCCATCCAACTTAAGCAAACAGCTTGGGAATTCCTTCTACTTCCATATGGCAATGGTGTTCCAGGCTACTTCAGCTTTTCATTTGTGAACATCTGTATACCTCAGGCTGCCTCAGTGCAACATTCGTATCGGATCTCAGCTGGTTTGCAATTTCTGTGAATTCAGTAATTTTGGACCAAGCCCATAAACTCCTTCAATTCAGCAACGTAATCCTGCAATGCTCGATGCTGACAAAGGAGGACAAACACCCTGTGAGAATCCCAACTGCAGCAAATAATAGAAGCATGTGCTACACCAACATACTGCACGGTTCCTGCCACATTGACTATTACATTTAGGCAGTTACATGGCTGCCAGCCACATCCCATGAGCTTTAGGAAAAGGAGATAAGAAACTGCATTGTTACTTATTAGTTTTCATTACAAGCCTTGAAATGAAGCACCAGAGAGAAACTTTTCTAGGATAACACTATTTATTATCTAGCAAGAATTTTAGAGCAATGACAAAACCAGCAAAACCTCAGACTCAAAGGCTAATTCAAATCCTCTCTTCCTCAAGCCTGCAACAAACGACAGGACATAACTCCTAGCAGCTGGTCTGCAGTAACTCCAGAGCTTTCCCATGGTATCTCTGCTAATCTCACCAACTATCCTTGCTTGTGTGTGCATATGAAGAAGAAAAAGTTTTCTTGGGGGAATGCAGGGGCCAAGAAGGGCAGGAAACCCTTATGCATCTAGTGTTTAAGGAAGATAAATCAGGTTGCACCCGTTTAGATCCAGGCTAAAAATTAATCACATTGCTTATACTACATCTCTCCAGACAGCCTCAATACCCAAATTACAGAGAGGGTGTACATCTTCAAAACATTCTACCTCCTCCCTCATTAAAAAGTTTCCTGTTCCCTTACACTCTTTTCCCCATATTATATTAGTTTTTAGTCCATGCAAAACTATGCCAAAGGGGAAAAAGTAAAGAGGTTTCCCTCATTTTCTGGTATTGATTTATGTTACAGCCTTCTTCACACAAACTCAGAAACAATTGAAACCATCTGTATGCCTGATGGGGACTAACAAAAAAGCTGATGAAGTATGACTTCACAAGGTGTCCAATGTAGACCAAATTTTTCTCAGGAGAGTCCATATCCCAGTCAGTGCCAGCACCAAGACAGTAACAAGTTGACACTTTCCAGAAACTGCACTTAGGCTTTCTATTTTCTCCTAAATACCTACAAGAGCATAGCTTTGGTGCTCTGCTTGCTGTCCTGACCCTTCACTTCCTACAAATAGAGATTAAAATATACTTTGTGATTGGTGCAATGGCCACATGGTTTTGGCTTTAATATAGTTGTTCTTTCTTCCCTTTCCCCTAATAAAAAAAAAAATTCTCAGATTTTATATTCACTAAGTATTTTATATAGTATTAAGCTAAAGGAAAAAGCAAACAAAGGCCGTCAGTGGCTATGTCAGAAACTATTAAAGTACAAAAAAAATCCTAGTCTTTCAGGCTGTGTGGGAATCAGATATCCTGCCTGGTCAGTATTCCACTGAAATTCAATATTCAATCACAGCTCAGTACAGCATGTAAGACACTTCCTGCATGCAATTCTTAGTTCCACACCATCTTCAAACAAGCACTAATGCTGTTAGATGCAACTTGGTGCAGGACTTCTCCACTACTGCCTAACACACCAAAACCAGCGGTGTTCTCTACCCAACACACATCTACGTCGTTATAGAGAACTGACCAAAAAAACACATACTGATTTTCCCCTCCTTTGGGATAACAACGCTTCTTTCTCCCTGTGACAGTAATGGTTAGGAAATGCTGCTTTCCTCTTTGTTTCATTGCTTGTTTTCTCTCCATAACACACTTTCTGAAAGCAGTTTCATCTTTCGCACTGATTAAATGCAGTTGGACAGCAAGGAGTGTCTGTGATTAAGCGCATTGCTCAACAGCTGTTGTTGGACAGCTTTGGCAAGGCTCTCTAGGCTAGCTGGAGGGAAGAGCACGAGGCACAGCAGAACCAGGAGACTAACTTGCACTGAAGAGAAGAGAGTTACAAACCATCTAAATCCAAATTTAGGAACAAGGGCTTTATATACTTTATCCACCCTTCTCAAGAAACCCTTTATATAAACTGAATTAATCATGCATCATAAAAATAAATGAGGCTATGTCTGAAACATGGAAACTGGAGAGACGAGATGAGAAACAAAAGCCAGACAGAAATAGAACCGCAGATTAAAAAAGGCGCAAGGTTTAATTAAACAGCTTATCATGGGACATAGTGTCTTGCTGTTGCTGAAATTAATGTTAACCATCTATGTTCATCTCTCTGGGGCCTTTTAATCACTGTTGCTTGTAGAGAGAAAAAAAAAATCCACCCAAAACAAAACCTTAACACACACTCACTGGCTGGGCTGCATACATTCTTAGTGTAGGTTTGCTGAAGTCAGAGACACCACAGCAGGAGTTCATCTGCCACCAGTATCTGGGAAGATCACCACTGACAAGAGTTTTGCCACGTACAAGCCTTTACATCAGACCATAAAACCTCCTCTCAGGACTGCAAATTAAATTTACTGTCCCATGGTAATTTTACATTAAGGAGAAGGGAAAGGAAAGAGAGCAGCTAATAAGATTTCTCAATTATTTCAAACATGAAAATCTTTAATCCCCTTTAAAAATGGAAACAAGTGCACTGTGGGAGAAAAGAAATGGGAGACACACAAAAGTTCTGTCTCAAACAAAGCATACTTTGCTTTGACCAGGTAGCTGCCCAGGCTTGATTTCTGATTCTGAAAACAGGCATATACTCAGAGCCATGTTTGGTTTTTTACTAGCATTTTTTCTATTGATGGAAGCCTTTTCTCTTCTGCAGTCTCAGCTGGCAGTACTAAATACGTGGTTCTCTCCTGCTGCTTCAGTCCTTTTTCTGTGTTCCAAAGTACTACACACAAGCTTAAAGAAGCATGAGAATGAAATACAGCTTCACATAGACAGCACTACAAAGTGTTACCAGCTGGGCACAAAAGACAGTTTCTTAAAAATAAAATATTGCTCCACTGACCACCCACAGCAGCCAGCATGATTCCTACTATTTAGGATAACACCCTATGACAGCTGCTCTTCTGAAAGCCTCTCATCTTCTCAGCTACCAAAATAGTAGTTTGGATTATTTCATGTTTCTACCAGATCACTTAATACAACCATGAAAAGACCTATCAGACCTACATTGTTTCCTTCAGCCACCCTGTTTCATTTCCTATGCATTGGATCAAGTTCAAAAGATGATGTTAAAATCAAATCAAGCTCTGACGCTAGGAACTGTTGAAAGGTGGAATGAATGGGACAAGTGTTATCTCTTATTTGTTAGCCACCTAAAATGCTGGCTACTCAGCTCCGGAAGGTAAATGGAAGGAATGCTGTGAAAGGTGAAGGGCAAAATATTTACTGAGAAGGGTACAATAAGAGCACTCATTCAGAAAACTGAGATGCTTTGATGGAGTAGAAATCTCCCCCTGAAAAAATTTTATATTTCACTCTGTACTCCATTATGCCTTCCAAATACTTCAGGATGTGCCAGTGCTATGGATGTATTTAGCATGTCTTGCAATATGAAGATACACCCCACAATAGTAAAAAGTGGCTGGAAAGGGATCTTAAGTTACCTAGTCCACTTCTTTCTCCTCCTCTAGAGCATGATCAACTACATCTATGTGAATCATGATTAACATTTATCCAAACTGTTCTCAAAGATTTCCAGTTATGGAGATTCCCCACCCTTCATAATTACTCTGCTCTAGGGCTTCACATTTTCATACCCATTAAAAAAATATTATTGTAATCTTTTATTAAAGATAAGTCCTTTGATTTCATCCCATCCACTGAAAATAGGGTAACAGACTATTCTGTAACTCTTGTGTAGTAGCTTTTTACACACTTGAAGACCTGAAGTTCTTCCTCCTGCCTTTTTTGTTTAGACTCATTAGTCCCAACTCTTTATCTTGCCTTGTAAGTCATGTTTGGTAGACCTCTTGTCTCATCAGTAGTTTTCTTCTTTGCCCTGGAACTCTTCCAACGGACCACTAATTTGCTAAAATTCTGTACTCAAAACTGGATATGGTATCTAACAAAGGCCCTACGAATGCTAGGTAAAGAATGAGGACTTTGTGTCCTGTGGCTCAGCATCCTATTTCTACAAGCTAATATAGGGCTGCTTCCCTCCCCAGCCCATAACTGCATCTCACTGTTAAAATAAACAACTTGTGAGCCTCTATAACTTCTAGATCACCTTCCCAAAAACTGTTCAATACTTTCATTGTACACGTTAGAAGTTAATAGTTAACTACTTCCACCTATTCACATTAGCTCAAATGCATTCCTATTAGATTGCATGGCATTTCGACAATTAATTTCTCCCATTTGCCCAGATGATTCTGAATTCTAATTCTGCCTTCCAATATATTTTTCAGATGACACGAAGCTGGGAAGGATGTCATCTTTATAAACATATGGTCTATTGCATCATCCCAGTCATTACTGAAAAGCAACATGCAACAGTGGAGCCAACAAGCAGAAATTACAATTCTAGCCAAAAAAGCCAGGGTGGAGAAGAAAACAGCTAATCATGAAGTTATTCTCTGTTGTTAAGGCATTTTAAATTATGTCAGAAAACAGGATGCAATGAAAAAAGCTCACCTGGACAACACTCAACCACTTACTACCAAGGCTAATGTTTTTTAGCTCTTTCAAAGTGTGTTTCCGAAGGGGTGAGAAAGAGTATTGAGTTTTCGGATAAAGGATTTCATTCTTTATATTCTCCCTGTATAACAGCTTAGCACTTCTAACCAAAACATTTATTTTAAAAGAATCAACTGTCTGAAGGATAACTGGAGAAAATAAAATAATGGTTTTACTTGGCTGTTGATTAGTATGCCGTTTGCTATTTGTTGTCTTTTCTCAATCACAATAGTGTATACATGTGAACAGAAAAATGTTCACCAACAGCACAGTAAGTAATATAGTGCTGAACATTTTTACCACTTGATTAATTATTTTAAATTACTTGATATTTTTAACGTTTCTCAATTTACAATCCCAGCCCAGTTTGGGACATGCTCCAAATTCGACTGAGGAGTTCCAGTGTTCCATCTGGCTAACCACATCAACAGCACCTAAAATCCGTAAAACTGTTTTACTCCACCTCTGTAAGACATTCATACATATGTCAAGATTCTAGGCTGAGAAAACAGAGTCAATTTTAAACCCTGAATGGACTGCAGCTAATGAATTTTCAACATACAAAATGAGAGATTACTTCAGATTTAGCAAGAGTGTTAAGCTGTCCTACAGATTTTACAGGCTTTCTGCCTGTTCTTGTTCCTTAATAATTTTTTTCTATTTTTTAAACACATTAAAATTTTTCTTTTCTTAATGTATTTAACAAACAAAAACATGTAATAGAGACATTAAACAATGCTACTCTGCTGATTCACACACTTTTAAGAAGTGCGCAAACAGTAAGTTCCTTCGTTGGACATACAATACAGAGCAAGTAACTTCCAGGGAGTCTCCCAGTTTTCAGTTTGTTTTTCTTGTCAAAGAACAGTCTAACAAAAATTTTATACACTAACGTGAGAACTCAAAAATACTTTAAAAACAACACTATGCTTACGAACCAAATTTAAAATTTAATTTGCCAGGAAGATATTTAAAAGTGTTCTCCATTCCTCCTTCTTTTAACTTATAACTCCTGTTGAGCAGGTTGTCGGTAAGACTCCTCCTCCTGTCAGACTGGAAGATAATACTGAGGCCATTTCACTTGGCCAACTTTCTTAGCAATTCTCACATGATGCATGAAATACTACCGTGAGGGGCAACAGGAAACAACCCATGCTATTCCCCAGTGAACAATACCTCACAAACAACTGAAGAGGGTCAATGGCTGTGCATGGCAGGGATGGATTGCATCACCTCCATTTGAATTGAAGCACATTCCAGCCAGGCTGTGTGCACACAGCTTGGTGTCTCACCCAACAATCATGCAAATCCAAGAGCAATTCTTGCTTTTGAGTGTGATAGATTACCTAAACTCTTAAGAACGCATAAAAAAATTAAACTAAACTGTTTGCTAGTATACGCAACAATTTTTGAAAAACATGAAATAGCTAAATAAGAATGCAAAGAATAAAGTAGCAAAATAAGAGTCTTTGAAAGACTTTTTTTTTTTTTCTTTCTCTAACCAACAATTTTTCTCACAGATATCTGTAGAAGAAACCATCACCAAAACTACAGACCAGCTTCAGTACTGTCATGGGTTAGGGCTGGACTGGCCACTAACAAATGACAGAGGCTCTGTTACAAATGCACAAGGTCAAAACATAGGCAATTTTTGACAAACACGAGCAACTCTAATCACCTTATACCTCCCTTCTGTCTTCCTCTTCTTTACACGGAAAAAAAAAACCAAAACCATACAGTTTAAGTCACATGCAAAAATACAGAAAACTCTCCTTTAGGTGATAATGGCAATGGTCAAAATACTACTCCAAGAACTCGTTCACTTAGCTGCCCTGTAATAGACTGGTTATTTACCTATGTAGTTTGAATGGCTTATTGGAACAATTTTACCCAATGAAGTAACAGGCCAGAAACCTCTAACCATGTTTTGAAGAAATTTGCTACGCAGCTTCTATGTTTTTATTCATTCTTTTGTTTAACAAACTTCTATTATCCATCTCTACCTCCCACCAAGGTCCTCACACTTCTCACTTGCCAGAAATCTTCTTTCCCTGCCAAAGTAGCACACATGTTTCATAAGACCTTTTAGTCTTTAGATGCCTGTCTTTCTCCCACCCATGAGAAACTCTGGCTGTGTTGTCCTTACGGGATAACCCAGCCAGAATCTATAGGCAGAGATGAAGGAAAGCAAACACTAGCACTGGTATCATTGTAGTGTTGTGGGTTACTCCTCTTTAATATGGTGATTTCCACCAGCTCTCATGCAGAAACTAAACACTGTTACTCTCTATTGCACATCTTTTTACTTCACCAAAGTATCCACGTGGCAGTCACCAACCTCAAGCTAATATAAAAAGCAGATGGAATGCTTTCAGAAAGGATGAGACCAACATCAAGAAAAACTCTGTGCATGAGAATCAAATTTTATGGAAAAGAAAACTTTTTAAACTGGGTCAAATCTTTGAACAAACTGCAGAAAAGAAGGGACCAGAATGGTTTCAGTTTGGAACAAACGTAATTCCTTCATGACCTATTGAATTTAAACAACCACCCCTGCTCCCTCATGGTATCAAGATATTTTCTATATTGCATACAGCTATTTTAAAGAGATTGAATATTTCCACACTTCCTCTCTGAAGGTACTAAGGACTTATCTTGGGTGCTAAGTCACACTAAGGGATGAATCATTTCATCTCAGAACAGAGCAACACCTGGGAAACTTACCTTATCGCTGTCTAGCGTGTTCTGTGAGGTTCGTGAGGCAATCGAAATAGTATCAGGTTGGCTGCTACCATCTCCCTGACTGTCCAAGTCCTCGCCGTCTCTGTAAATAATTCAGTTTTCATCACAATATTAGCACTGTGTTTGTAACATGTTAGTTGCGTACTTCTAACTCTAAAGAAGGGGCTCCTACACAGCATGGCAACAGACACCAGGCAGACAAACTGATGCAAAAATAAAAATATTCAGCACTCAATACTTTGTTCTACACTTGAAGAGAACAGATTTGTTTGCTCAAGGTCTGTATCATGTAGAATTAAGGTAACAACCAACCAGCCAGAACTATGGCAAGAAACTTGCACAGCCACTTAGCCAAAGCTAGCAAGCAGAACAGTCAGTCACACATTTTAAGCTCCATGAAAGGAAACCAAGGACCTGAATAACACATGCATAACTGTAAAAATCTAAAGTGTACTGCTATCCTATACCGCAGTTCCAAATCCCTTCTGTAACAGCTGAATATACACAAGTATATTCTGCTCAGAGACTGCTCAGAGCAGAAATCTCAACAAATTCAGTATTACAGGAAATTGGAAATTAATTATAAGATAAAGCTGGCCAAAATGACTCTTGCTTTTGTCCAAATCACTGAAAGTCATTAGAAATTCAGCACAGTAGAGGAAAGAGTACTGTTGAGTACTTGGACTTCTCTGATTATTTTAAATACTACTTACCTTCTTCCTTTCTGTTTTGTTGTTGGTGCGGTTTTGGGGATGTGGATCGGTTCTTTCAATGCTCCTTTCAGATGAATGGTCCTTTCTTGTATCACTTCCCGTATGTGTTTGATCCAGTCCTGTTTATTCTCTATACTGGATGCCTTTGATATGCAAAAGAAACAAAACCCCCACAAGGGACTATTATAGCTGAGAAGATCCACACATACAGTCAGCTAATAAACACAATAGAGGAAGGCATAAAGAATGACTTTGTGAATAATTTTTGAAAAGTTCAACAGAAAAATGGAAATTCAAGCTAGCTGTCTTCACTTTGAATCGCCAACACTAGTCTACACTTCTCAACATTATTAATATTGTTAATTTAAAAACCATTTTATTTCAATTCAGATTCCTCTTTCATAACTTGGAGGCTAAAGCCCTGTATGCATCTCATGTGAGACAAGGTGAATTGACTTACTTAAAGAATTCCACTAATAATACATTGAACACTGGTATTTTAAACTCATTTTAGGTCAATTCTAACTCCATATAATAATTGACTAACACTGAAAGAAAAATCAATTTATACTGCAATACATATGCTTCCACAACACATTTCATGTATTACTCTTCCCACTTTTGAAACATACCTGGAAGCAGAAAGCTAATTTAGGGATTGTATTTTAATAACTGCCTTCAACATATCATCTACATTTTTGAGATACCCTGGAAAAGACTTGATATCCAGCTGCCCAACCTGTAATCTGATTGTTTAATCCAATTTAACCCCATACCTGAAATGCTACTAAATGTAAACATTATTGCAGATCTAAAAAAAAATTATATATAACTTTCTACTTCTCTTAACTGCTGTCTCCTAAAATAATTGGCTTAGAATATACTATAAATATTTAATATACTATAAATATTTAATAACCAGGAATTCTGAAGGGATGGAGAAAGTTGGAGGAACAGATGAACTGTTAGGAAGATCTTTGTTTTCTTTTACAAACAAAAACATTTAGGAAAAGAAGCTAAACCCAAGGTTTTGTCAAATCTTTTATTTAGGTTTTCATGGAATTTACTTATAATTCTAATGAGCTAAGGAAGTGCTAGTTTCCAACCTTCAAAACGAAACAAATGAAAAAAATCAATTGTGGAAAAGCTCCATATACCACACAAGTTATCTAAATATCCTGTGCTCCAAGAAAAGAACAGAACAGAACAGAACAGGAACACCTTAAAGTGAGCCCTTAAATGAAACCCCTTATACTGCTCTAGCCTGGGAGGATCATTTCAGGCTGCAAAGCACTATCTGTGAAATTATGTTGAGTATTGAAACTGAACAAATTGTATTATTCAGTGATGTTACATTTCACTTTCTTGCACTCATTGACTGCTGCAGGAAAACTAATGTGAGCTCTTCTTACCCTGTATTCCCTAGGAAAACATATAAATTTGATTGGCAACATGTAAATTTGAGTGACCAATTTTAAGTGGCATTAATGAGTAATCACCAAAAATATATGTGAAAAACATAAACAAGTTTAATAGTAGATGCATTAACCTGTAAATGGGAAGGTGAACTTTTTTTCAGCTCAACACAGCTAAGAGATACAAAATAAAAGTTTCAAAGCTGACACAGTCCTCAAAATATGTGAAATCACCCATTAGCTCCTTGTGGTATTACATAAAAGTTCTCCAGTTTAAACAGTAAGTCCCAGGTTACATACCAGAGTCACGGGAAAAATGGATTTAGCCATTCTCTCTTAGCTAGGCAAAGAATGCTACTGACACCTGTAAATTCTCCAGACACAAAATTTACAGGCATTGCACACACTCTCACCCAAAGACAAGTATCTTCAGAAAAACTTGTAACCCACAGAAAGACGTAAAAATCTTTTGAAGTGTTTCTATTTCTGCATAAAAATATGGGCCATGAAACATAGCATCACCAACAAGCAGCAGTGACTCACGCATGGAACATAACACTGATGCCATGATTTGTCTGTGACATATGAGTTGCTCTGTCAGTGGCTGAAGTCTTCAAGCTATAGAGGTCCATGGGATCAAACCTCTTCCCACTCTGATTTGTGAAAGCAAGTTTGTTTAATCCTTCAGTAGACCACACAGATCCCCCTTGGCTGTCAAGACCCCTAAATTAGATATATATCACATCCTTTACACACAAAAGAAAGTTATCTGTCAGCAGCTCTCCTCTCAAACCAGGAAAAGCTATCACTTGTTGCCTTCCCAGAAAGTATAAACAATAACTACAAGACTAAATATAGACTGTACAAGCACATCTGCTAAAATTACCTTGAGAACAATTTTGTTGTCTGAAGTTGGTGTCCTTCCAACCCATAAAGCAAACTTGCAGGGATCTCCTTCTACATGTTCAGTGACACCCAGTTCAGAAGTCTAGAATTAAGAAAAATTTGTTAGGACGACACAGCTTTTTGGTGGGTTTTTTTTTTTGTTTTTTTGTTTTTCTCAGAAGCCACAAAGGGATGCTAATATTAACTGAGCTTTGCTATGTAAAGATTTTTAGAAGCTTAAGGCTAACTCATATGATACAGAGAATCCTTTATTCTGCTGGCAGCGGTGGGATTTCTTCAAAAAAGCAAGAGCTGCAAGCTAAACAGTTTTTCCTGTAGAGTAAAAATAAACAATAGCATTTATAATCTGAATACAAAATTGCTTATTTTACATTTCTGACTTGAAAATAAAAACCTTATAACTCTAAAAGAAGGTGCTTGGTAAAAAAAAAAAGTGTTGGCTTCTCTCCTTGTTGATTTCCATCAGCGAACACTTACTACTTATTGATTATTATGTTTTCTCTCAAATAAGATATGCTTAATAATTCTCTTGATATCTTCTAAACATCTGATCTCTTTTTTTGCCAGAGACCTTTCTTAGTGTATTTCCTTCCCTCTGAAACAGATTAAATAATTCAGAAATGCCATTTCCCTAGAGAATTTCGTGGGACAACTACATTGACGATCAGTCTTTGTGAATGTTCTAGTGTCAGTTCTTAATAGCTAATTATCATCCATAATGCTTTCACTTTCCAACTGGAACATCATCTCAATCATGGGAACTGGCTTCCAGTTAAGTAATTCATGTAGGCTCTGCTCCAAAAAATTACAAACTAAGAAATATAGCTCAAACTACAAGAACCCTCACTGCAAAAAGACAGCTGCTATGCGTTCTTACATTATTAAAAGCTGTACTTTTCCCCTCATATGTATCACCACTAGGACATACACAGTCCATTACAAGAGATGCTGGGTATACAGAGCTAGAGTAAAGGTTATTTTTCTTCTTGTCTCACTTGGATGCCAACTTGTTTTGTTGTTTGGTGGTCTGGGTTTTTTTCCTAAAAAAAAAAAAAAAAAAAAAAAAAAAGCCCAACACAACACATCCACCCTTTCACCTTTGTCATCTTTTTGGTCAAATGGACTCTTCTTCACTGAAATAATTAAAAACCTGTGATGGATTTTAAACTTGACTCACCAGCAACTCCTAAGTCTTAAAAAGCTTGTAAAATACTTAATCCAACATTACATTATGTGATTCAAAGAAAATACACCCTATTGCACTGCCCAAAATAAAGTCTGAATGAGCAAGACAGTACAATATTTAATGCTGTTTATTTTTTAAAGCCCAGAAAATTTAGACACCTTGGTACACTTTTGAATATTATTAACTTTACAAGGGACAACTGAGGGACAACGCAGTAGAGGTCTGTACAGTAAGGAATGGCAAAGCAGACATACATTGTTCACTCTCCCTTTCAATGCTGGCAGGCATCAAATGTGGGAGGGTCCAAAACCCAACACAGGGACATTGACCTGTGCCCAACACGTAGCTGAGCAACACAACTCTTTGCAAAGGAAACTGTAAATGCTATAAGTCTACCTGAGGTCCAAGGGTAAGCTCATAGAGGGGAAATCCGTTGCTCACACTCAGGTGAGGAAGCCCCTGAACTGCCAGTTGCTGGTGACTGGGAGAGTATTCTGGCAAAGTTACTCCTGCTTGCCTTGTTCCCATAGCCCTCCTTAGGCATTTGCCTTTGGACACTTAACCTCTTGCCAAAGGAGTTCATTAACACATTCTTCCACTAATATAAGTCATGCCATTGAGTATCCTATGCTGGGAAAACCATGATGGTCATCATGCCCAAAGTAAAGAGAAGGACCTCACTTTTGTAAAACCACCTTTCAGAGCCACGAGGCAGGATAATATGCAAAAAAGATCTTCAGCTCAAATCAACGTGCATGCTTTCAAAAATCTGTATGAATGCCTTTTCTAAAGATCAAAATATAAGACTTGCTATAATAGTAACCTGCACTACAGGATATTTTGCCAAATAGAATATGGAGACAAAAAGAATGCTTGCGTTTTAAAAATGAAACACAATGAGAGTCTTCAAGATTTCCAGCAGCTTCTCTAGGACCCAAGGCTATTACTAAATTCCTGCCAGAGGAATTGACATGACAAGCTTATGGGACCGATTTTTCGGCTCTGTCTCCCCTCCCACGTAACGCCTTGGCAGCTGATGTTACCCATAGTACACCAGAAGTTTTTTGTATTTGAAGTTCTTGAGAGCACCAAAGAAAAGTGTGATCAACACAACAGCTGCAGCTGTGTTACCTGCCAGCTACCTTGTATCAGGAAGGAGAGCAAGTGTTGGAAATTAAGTGACAGAATACGCAAAGTAAAACAGAGAAAAAAGATGCTTTTTGAATGAACCTGCTTTACGAGTTTGGAAACAGAAGCGGGAAGGTGGAAAGAACAAAGGAAAAGGAGCTGAAGCAGGGAGAAAAGGCTCAGTATTTATACTATCTAGACTTAGTCATATACCCCAATAGGATCAACATCAGAATAATGTCTTTTAGAGTGTGATTCTGAGAACTTGTTCTAAACTTTCTGGCAGAAAAGCTAATCTTGCCTCTGACAAACGCAGAGCAAGCCATGGGAGATTGTCTTCTTACTTGGCTACCTAAATTTACGGAGTGTGAATAGAGGGTAAGGATACAAATTCCAGGGTCACATTTTGTAAAGCATACATGTTACAGATGAGGAAAGAAAGAATGGATTCCTTTTTTTTTTTAGATTTTTTTTTTTAAAATGTGAAGAAAAATATTTCCATCTTTACATCCTTTCAATAGACCATAAGAGCTTATCATTTTACTTACAAAACATTATTGTTAAGACTACCAGTCTCTGTAGACATTTTGAAATGAATTTTTCCATAACAAAGAGTTCTTGCCTTTCCAGATCAGTATGTGCAGAATATTGACCAAAATAACATGTACAGCAGTGATAGCAAACAAGCAAGATGAAAGCAGCTTGTCAACTCCTTCCATCCTTCTGCTTTATACAAATAAGCCTTAAAGAACCAGCAATCACACACACAATTAAGACAAAATGAGTCCAGCCCAATCTTGATTTTCCTTTGTCCTGACACACAGCCTTCAGCAGTTGCTTTCAGCCTATTTCTCCTCAAAAGCATGACAAAGCAGTAAACTTACAAGATTCAGTCTACACATTCTAAGGCTGATCTTTCAGTGCACTATAATAGTTGCTCAAGTTCTTCAGGCACATTTAAACCATCTGAGCTTAGTCACAGTCTAATCTAGGCAGTTTTCTAAATAGGATCACTTTTTCTCCCATACTTACGAACAGTTTACTCTTGTAAATGTACTTGCTCCTTCCACTGGAGTCCTTTACTTCTTTACTGAAAACCAAGGACATCTCAAAAAGGAAAAGGTGCCTCTCTCTTCCCTTTCGAATTAGAGTTTTTGGGTCCCACACTTGGAAGGATTCTTGAAGGATGAGCTCTCCCTGAGATTCTATATTTTCATCAAAGCCTAAAAACCCAGGGAGAGGAAAGGTTCACCACGAAAAGTTGATAATACAAGGAAATTAAAAAGCACAGCTTCTGTTTATTAAGCAATATGATTTTTTTTATCCCCAAATACAGCTTGCAAAAGATGGGATTCCAAAGGAGCCATTATAAAAACAAGACTTGATTTCAACGTATAAATGTAACTGTAGCTCAAATCTATGTCTAAATTTAGAGATCCAACTCTTCTGGCAGTATTTCACCAACAAATGACAGATCCGTCTATGTCAGCTTCTGGTTACCTCTTCAGGGATGAAAATTATTTCTCTCATAAGCTTTCTGGCACTGTAGAGAGTGAGCAACTTGCAAAGACACAGAGACTACATCAGGAAGTTCTGACATTGGCAAGCTCCCAAATGCCACCTCTTCTGGTGGTACACCTTCCCTACCACGTATGCAATGAGCACACAAACATGTTCCAATAGGGGATGAAAAAAGATGGCAGCTTGGAGCTGTGGCCATGTGATCGGCTTGCCATTGTGTCACTCCAGCATTGATCCACCACAAAGAAACAGCAGCTGGATTATTTATCTTGAGACATAATATAAAGATGAAGATAGAGAATATCAACTTCCATTGTAGTGGTGTTCTCCCAGCTTAATACACAGCTAGCTTTAGAGTTGCAGGGTAACAGAAATTAGTCTGCCATACTCCTCTGCATGGTATTAAACTGCATTTTAAATAGATACTACTTGCCAATATTCTCTGAACAGAAGAGCACCATCTTTTTTGAGAAAACAACAGTTCTCACTGTTCTAAACAGGGGAACAGCATGGAGAGCATCAGAGGCCAGTTGCATCAGGATGTTCATTCAAAATCCTCCAGAGACACAAGGAGGAAATGTGCTCACTCACTATATTCGTCTAACTTGGGATGCCTCAACAATACACGCATGATTTGTTATAAAACCAACTTATGTAAAAGATTAGGATATTCTCCAGAGTTGCATTCCCAGTGTTAAAGATGATTACCAAAGCTGGTCAGCATTTATACTAACACTATCGCTGAACAAAGCATTTGGAACCGATCCTGCATACTGACCAACATAGCTATTGTTTAAAATCAGGGAAGAGGTGACTTTGACCATTCACATGACCAAAGATCACATGTCAAACCAACACGAGTTTTCCAGTAACTTGCACCATACTGGGAATTCCACTACAAGCTCCATTTTACTGTTAGAAGGAAGAGGAAAAGCAATATTGACTAAAATCACCTGTAAGTCTTTATTCAGCAACTGCAAGGTAAGGCAGCTCTGCTTTTATCTCAAAAAAACTTAAATGCTAAAGAAAAACACTTGTATTACTAAACGTACGATGGCACATACATGCTAGCATGTCAGTTACAAAACAGATTTTGGCAGAAAGTTGTTCTAAGCACACAGAAGCAATTACATCCAACCTGCGCTGTTTGCCATGAACATGATTATGCTGTTCTGGCTAAGGCTCAGGCTAAATTGGCTTATGCTGACATTTTACTGCCAGAAGATATGTTTCATTTCATCCAGAAGTCTCATATGGAACAGGCAGCAGACAGATGTGAAAACGACAAACTTCTTGGAGACAATTATTTGATACATAAATCAGCAAAATCACCTCAAAATTTAAAAAAAATTAACAAAACTGTACCACTTGCCTGTCACAATTAATTTTCCTACACAAGTTTGCAATTTATACACCTCCAAATAAAAGGTATATAAAATACAAACCCAGAGATAAGAAAATGTTCTTCGTATCTTCTCAACATATCGTAATATAGAAAGTCATTAAACAAAGTTAATCTACAGCATATGACTGAATTGAAAAGCCAGTTTGAATCCTACCTTCCAGCATGCTGAGGTGCATGGCATCATTGGCTCGCTTTGGCACACTAAGCATCACCTCCAGGCCATCCTTAATCTCACCTTTACCTTCTTCACAGCACGTGAGCAGCTCCTGCAAAAGACAAGCAGACATGAGTACTCTCTATCATGTATTTCTACACTAATACGATAGACAACCAAATAGTACTTCTAACAAGCAACAAATCATTTTCGGCATGTAAAATCTTTTTGAACTTCTTACTCTGCCAATGAGATGACAGCATACTCTGTATTTATCGTGATCTGTTCTTCAAGGAGCAGCCCAAGCTTTCAGTTAACCACCTCTAATTTAAACAGGACCATCTGCTTAATAAAAAAATCTTTAAAAGTTACATTAAGGACAACATTTCTTCTGATAAGCACAGACTCAGCTATCGGATGCAGCCCTGCATCAAGGCTCAGAACAACGCAGCTGCCAAGTCATAAAGATGGTGGAAAGCAGGACAGCCCAAAAGGACCCACCCTGGCCCCCCTTCCCCCAAGTCAGTCATTGCTCCACTGCACCAAAGACCTCTGTACTACTGCTGATAAAATGAAACAATGTAAATCCTCTTAAGTATTCCATTAATTACTCTATTCTGCTTTTATACAGTTAAAACCATCCTACAGACAGAACTTTTGAGTACAAAGAAGCATTAACTAATGGACAGAAGTTAGAAAATAGAATATGCTGAAGTGTTGTAGTGGAATTTAGGGAAATGCAGTTCCTTGCCCATTCAAGATCCCACAGATCTTAACATAACAGCACCTGAGCTGACATTCAAATTTCCTCACACCCTTTGAGCATTTGAACAGTATCAAGGTAAAATATAGCTTATGTAACCAAAAGGGCATATTATGTTCCTTCTATTATTCAAAAGGCCCACTTAATTCATTTCCTCAGGTTAAATTCCCTTTTCCTTTTTAAAGAGAAAGCCAGGTGATTCTTATTATCATCATTACACTATTTTTATTTAACTGCCAATACCACCATCATAGCAAAACACTACATCATCACACTTAAATTTTGCATGACATCTCCACAGAAAAGTGAGTGTAACTGAACGTCCTCCAGGAGGCACAGAAGATGAGCAGCTTCAATATCATTTGGAAAAATAAGCAGAACTTCTAGAACTGTAAATTGTTTCAGCTATCATTCAAGTTTTGAGCTCTCCATCCTTCTATGTTTCACACCTCTCTTTTTAAGGGGAAAAAAAAAAGAAAAAGAAAACCCAGCAACAACCAAATGAATCCATTTTACTATGCAGCAAAGCCATCTGGCTCTGCAAACACTCGCGAAACTGATCTATCCCATCACTCCAATAATGTAGCGGCTACGGTATATTTAGATTTAAAAAAAAATAATTATTGGAATCAATACCCCAAAATTTCTGAAACAGCACAGCCTAGAGTATTTCTGTAAGTTATAACTTAATCAAGTTGCACCTTTTTGCAACGGGAAAACAGACAATATATTTCAGTTAAAAATGCCAAACTTGTTTTCTGAAACAGCCTGCAATGTTTTTCAGAAATTTTAAAAACAATCATCCATGGCAGTTCTCAGGGAAAAAGGGGAGAGACAGATCAGTTACTGTGCTCTTGTAGGCAGCTATTACCAAACAAGTAACGCCACCTAACAGAGACCCAGCACAGTTCAGGAACACTGCTGCTCAGTCAGCAAAACATCCGTGCACTGAGTGCAAGCTCTAACTACAGGTTTCCAAAAGTTTTGTTTATTTTAACAGCTACTATTTACTTGACATTTCCAAGCAACATTACAAGTTAACAACTGTTTGTGCAACCGCTTCACAGGTACTCACAGTGTGTATATATACACATACATACACACATACACATATATATTCTTACATTTTATAGATATTTTATAGTCTAGTTTTATATATAAATATATAGAAATGTATATATTTTACAGTACATAATACCATAAACATAGCTAATGGCTTGCCAAAATTTGTTGCAGAAACCTCTACAAAAATGCGCCTGTCTATATGGCCATTAATTACTTTCTTTACTCTGGAAATGCAAGTTATATTTTCTAAGTAAACGTTAGTAGAGGTATCTTTTTTTGAATTACAGGAATCTGGACAAAAAGTTTCTTGTTTATGCCTTCATTCATTTTCAGCCACCGCCTAAAAAACATTGCAGCAATATTTGAGGCTGCCCAGGATGCTGTAGTCTCAGAGTGCAGAGTAAAACAGCCCTTCTGATTTCAGCAAGAGTTTTGCCCTCTTAAGAACACCAGAATCACATGAAGAACTCTGAATTAATACTGACCTTTAAAAGAAGCTGGTATTTTGTTATCCTTTGGACAGGTTTGATAAGGTAAGAGGAGATTGAGTTGGCCAGTCCATGTCGTTGCTGTATCTCCTACATGAAGAAGGCAAACATTTGAGGACTGTGAGCACCAGCACTCAGATATAGACTGCTTTGAAGGCTATGCAATAATAGACATTAACTACAAATTCTGCTTTAGCAAGGAGAAATAAAAGACGACAGGATGACAAGATATTCCAGCCACAGCAAATAGTTATGTTGTGCATCTGCCTGCTGCCTCTGTACAAACGAAGGCTTATTACCTCCAAGGGTACCTGTGAAGCATTTCAACAAACCTAAATACAAGCAGCAACAATTAGGGATATTGAACATGTGGCAATGACTTTTTTAAAAAAAATAAAAAACTGTATTTCTTCTGTTACTTGCAAGAGAAACAAAAAAAAAATTTCAGTGTTTCGTGAAACAGTCAGCTCTCTCACAGGAAGGCTGAGGTGGAGGTTTCTCAGCATCTCCTGCTAGTTTAACCCCGCATGAGGATAGCACCATGAAACAGTTGCTAACTGCAGGGAGGAGGTTACTGAACACCTAAAATGAAAACAGCCACTTACAAAAAAAAAAAAAAAAAAGAATGACCTCCACAAAGCTAAAGGAGGAAGACAGAATTAGATGATAATTAGATGAGATAATTACAGATTTCAAGTCCTGATTGTGGCTGAACTTCACAGTCAGTGCTTGCCATTTCTCACAGTATCAGTTCTACTTAACCACACAATTTCAAACAAGTTATGCACCGGAGCTATGTGCTTTCTAGCCATGACTACAGTATCAGAAATTCCCAAGACAGGGTACACATGACATTTTCACATGGTCCAGTGGTGGCATCAATGGAAGCTCTTGAAGCTACCTGTGCACAGAATTAGGTCTTCACACTTCTAATCCACTTCAGGTGGATTAGGGGATGGAGAGCTCTGGATACACTGCTAAAACAGAGTGATGAAAGGATGCTCCTTTGGAGATGGTGGCAAGAACTTATTTTTAATACAGTTTTATCAGTTCCCTTTTTTTTTTTTTTTTTTTAAAAAAATAGTATTTACTACATTTTTCTTTGCCTTTTTTTTTTTGTTCTATCTGCCTGACTTCTTGTAACTTACCTACTCTTCTTCAAACACTGAAGACTTAACAGAGGCTTCACAAAAAGGCTTTATGTTACAATGTTTAGAATTCTTATCACCTCAGTGACAGAGGTTTGAAATTAACCTCAAGAACTTCAGCGCTTTTTTGTTTATTTGTTTTTTATTACGTTGTTCCCTCTACTTCCACAAACTTCAATAAAGCTAAAAAGCTTTGTGGTGTCACTACACAGCTGGTGGCTCAGCACAGTGGAGAAGGAAACAAAAAGGGGCAGAGCACACCCTAATCAAATCATCTAAATACACGTTGAACCAAACCTATTCAATGCGGCCAAAATTCCTCCCTAGAACCTCTAACAGCTGCTACATTCTGGTTCATTCTTAAGTGGAATACTGCATGTAGACCAAGTAACCTTGGGACTGAGTAAGCAAGGTGGCTGGTTTAGCAGCTCTGATCAATGGCAGTCAACGTAATTACCACTACCTACAATACAATGTAAAGGCCCTTCAAAAATTTAACAAAGATTTCCATCTTTATTACATATAATGCAAACTAAGCACATCAAAATGCTTACATTTGCAGAACGTGCTTGTGAGAGCTGAGGATTCATCTCTCAGTTTTTGCTGCCAGAATATGCTTCCAGTTCTGAACTGCTCTTATACATGACAGCAACTTTTTGCATTCGATTTGAGAGCTTTGAGACTAACAGAGCAATATAAGTTAATCATGTGAGATATAAGATCGATTTTTCTTAAGCTGATACTAAACTGCATTAATACTAGGAAATCTACATTTTCTTAAGAAATTAGGCACTCAGCATAACTGCAAGTACATGATTCAAACTGCCAAAGCATACTTCTATGATGGACACAAAGTACTTACATCAAAGTATGCTCCTGCATGTTCTAAGATCAGCTGGGTAGAATCTGGCTTATTTTTACAGTAAGTAACATACATTTGGAATTTGTCTGCCTGCAGAACAAAATGCAAATTTACACAGGTTATCAGAAAGCACGATTTCTGTCTCAAAGTTTTTACAGAGTTATATGCTTTTTTATCGAGCATATCTTCCTTCTCAAGAAACTGAGCTATACAGAATTATCTTCCCAATCAAACTGGAAGCATAAGAGAATCCATCAGACCAGTAAGACTGAAAACAATAGCAATGTATGCAAAAGTAGATTATTCATAGGTAAGACAAAAATACCAAACTAAACCTGAATGCAGGTTTAGGCAAGTTGCATAAACTTGAAGAGCAAATAAGCACTGCCATCTGACAGCACTGCCTCATTCCCTCCCCCCTCCACCCCCCCAGCTGAAGATACACACATTTTTACTCAAATTTGAAGGAGGTGGTACTTTCACAAATTCTACAAACTAAAAAGGGACCTGAGAGCATGAATTCATCCCTTCATGCTTCCCTTGTTACTTCTAAACAGAAATCTGACTTCATTACCCAAGTAACGAAGCAGTGTCCAACATCTTCTGGTAATTGTTCGTATTTTTCCAGCTCCTTGAGGAATATACTATGGGTAGGAAAGAAACAAATAGTACAAGGCACATGAAACATTTTCATTAAAGCAGCTGGTATTGATCCATTGTCTGTGAATAAAGGCAGTTAGAAAACTTGCTGTAATTCATACCAACAGCATGAGTTAAAGAAATAAAGATAACGAGAATGGATAAAAATGTGTAGTAACAGAACTAATATTAAACGTAATTCAATACACATTCTGATGTGAAGATCAGAAATTGATCCAGCGGACATGCAGTTAACACATAAGAGCACACAAAAATTTAATAACTGCTCTTATTCTCCATCAAGAACGTTTCCTACTGTTTCAGTTTCAAGAAAAGTTTAGCCTTCATCTCAAGAGCAAAAGAAAGTGACTTCCTTTTTGGATGCTCAAGTTAACACAAAGCATACAAAGGACTGTAAAATCAGGTTCTGGAATATGCTAGGTGTATTGTGTTACTTAAAAGAATCATAACACAATACAAACACTGATGAATTAACAAAGAGGGAAGATTCAGAGTAAAACTTCTGTACACAGATTTGCCTAGGAACCATTCCACTCAGAAGAAATGCAGTGGACAAGCCTCTTTCACGCGCTACACTCAGGTAAACATAACAATGGTGGGGCATCTCCACAGAAGCTTTGAAGAGCCAAGAAAGAGCAGGGAGCCCTACTGTTTCCCACTAGCATTCACACCTGGAAATCAGGAATGAGGGTTCTGAAGGAATGACAGAGTCTTAAACTGATGTTTGTGCTATATCTGCATTCTATTCAGTTCAGTGGTCTCCATCTCTTTAGAACAACTGGAAAACCTACAGCAAAATTTTAGTGTACAAACCATTTCTCAAAAGCTGAAAGATGTCCAAGACTGAAAAAGACAGTTTCTAATGGTATACCTACTCAGCTGCAAAAAGCAACAACTGAAACAATTTAGCAATGTGAGAAGAAATCCTTTAGATTTTTTTTTTTTTTAATGGAAAATCGTACATCATGCATACCCACAATATTTTCTTTAGGAAATCCCTCAGGTCATCATTTGGATTTAGCAGTAATATGGAAATGGAAGATAAGTCACTCACTTATTGTGGAACTCATAGATTTCCTGCATGTTTCCAAAGATAATGTGTTCTTTGTTTACAATACCAGGTGGGATCTCCTCGACTCCGCTTGTCATTTCCCATAGATATGTCTGCTCAGAACAAAAAAGATGCACGAAAAGTCAAAAACTCTGAGCAGAAGCAGTTATCTGTAAGCATGCATTCCTGGAAAGAAATCAGGGAAAGATCATGCAACAGCATCATCTCCAATTGTGACAGTACCTGTTGTGTCAAATATACCTTGTGATTTTGACAGTAAAATCCAAGTGCTAAAAATGACAATTTAACATAGTCCTTGAGACTTCATAATTTAAAATGCATAGTGTTCTTGACAACCTCTAATGCTTCAGGATATTCCTTATCAAGGTCATGTCTGCAGTCTAGAAGTTCATGCTTTGTGCAACAGCTACCAATGAACATTACTTGCTTCAGTGTAACAATTACTGGGCACTTTTCCATGGAACCTCTCTGAATTTCTATTCAAAAAGTCACCTAGTAGCAGAACATGTGATGCAGATAACAAGAGAACTAACACAAGCTCTTCTCTATTGCCAGCAAAGCAAATAAAGTAAACCCCTCCTTTTTTCCTCCCCTCTCTAAAAGAAAAAACCCCACACATTTATGAAATGGGAAAGGAGCAAATGTTGAAATTCAGTACTGACAAAAGCGAAACATATAGGAAGAATTCCAAAGTGGCTGTTTTCAGATGTAACTCTAAGTTTCTTCTTAATGGCAGAAAAGATACTTAATTTGGTCCTATGACTGCAAACCAATCATTATCAGCTGTTAAAACCAGAAAGAAACAGAAAGCAACAGATTGAATCCTGTCTTCAAAGATTAGTGGAAAAAAAAAAAAAAAAAAAAAAAAAAATTACATCCATGCATTCCCGGAGGTCTCTTACGTAAGCCTTTTCAGTCTGAATTAGCTCAGCCATTATGAACCTTAGGTGACAACAGAAAGTATAATCAAATCTCAGTCTGTTAGATAATTATGAATGCATAATAACCAGAATACATCTTTCTCCTCATCAGCTTTTGCTTTTTCCACTGCTGCAAGAAAAGTCTGAGAACTGAAATGCGAAGAGAGAGAACAGATGAAGGAAGCATAAGAGGTAACATCCCTCCATTACTAAACACCGCGAAAAGAAATGGGGAAGGAGATGGAATTTTTTCTCAAATGCTTTTCACTTGCTACAGTCATTTAACTGTTGTCCTTCTTCCTCCCCATACACATTTATTTCATATTATTTCTAAAAAGAAACAAAGCATGTTAAAAGAAGTCTAACATAGTTTTGAAAGTTTAAGATTCTGACATGCTACAATTATCTTTGAGAACAAGCATATGAATAAAAGGCAATAGGAGCTATTAAGTAATATCACTCTCTTTTCACGATTTATCCAGTTTCTAAGCTGCCAGACAAGCAATGATAGTTGCTTCATTATCAGGACTGATTTATGCATTCTCATTGATTAAAAATAAATAAATATATTACTCTTTCCTGCGGGCAGACTTTCGTTTTTCTTCATTAAGCTCATGAGCAGCATCACGCAGTTTCACCTCTGACCCAGGGACACTGGCTGGGATTATATCCAGCTGCAAGCTTTTGCTCTTTATTAAAGAAAGGAAGAATTGATTAAGGAAGGAGACAGGAGAAAACGACAGCTAAATCAAATGCAAGCAAAGCTTGTTTGTCTATCATCACACTCAAATGTCTCTTACCGATTTATTGGAATCGGAGGAAATACCCAGAGCTTTCTCTAAAGAGGTCCTGTATTTCTCCATGCGCAGGGAAAAGTCTCTGTACCTCTTATCCACTGCTGTGACACATTTTTTGATCTCTGTTGCATGAGCATGCCCTTTTTCACAAAAGCCATCAGCCAGCTGTATCAACAACTTTACCCTCTCTTTGGTTTGCTATGAAAACAGGAAAATATCGAACAGTTACTAGTCCTACCTGTCATGAAAGGGGTCGTGTTGCATAACCTGCTACTAAGTGCAGTTGGAGAAGCCTCCTCTCTCTCTTCCCAGAACTCCTTTAAACAGGTACCTTTTTCTTAATAAAAACAGCACTAGATGAATATAGGTTTCCTTAGGTTTTATTATTAAATGACTAGAAGCAGGTTGTTTATTTTTCTTTCAAGAAGTGCTCCATATCTAACCCAGAGATTAAATTCTGCTAGGCAAGCTTTTCAGAGCATGGGTATTCTCCTCGCATCAATACGACGGGGTTTTGATGCCAAAGAGGATATTTTGTTCATTACCACTGAAGCACTGGTGTTGGAGCAGGCCCACGGTCTCAAGAACCTACCTCCTTTAGACATCACCGAGGTGTTGAGATGGAGATAAGTCTTGTTATACGTTTTACACTTTGACGCTTTGGTTTTTCAGACTATTTTTTTTAATATTATGTTTTATTGTCACATAGTTGTTTGAGAGAAACTAAGAGAACACGCAGCCACAACCAAATCTGTAACTAAGTGCTTTTCCTAATTAACAAGCTGCCTTTTTACATGAAAGAAACGCACTTCCTTTCATGGAAATCACAAATCATCCACAATGGATGAGTTTATACCTCCACCTCTCTCTCCCCCCTCCCTCCCCTGTCCCC